TTGGCACTAATTAAATTTAAGAAACATCTAAAACTACGCTAAGGTTGATAGAAAATGCTGTTTTGAATCTGACTTGAGGTCCCACGCTGTTTCAGAAATGGAGAGTAGACTAATGTGATAATACTTGTTTTTCATGTTTGATCTTATTTTTCTCTCTAACAGCTCTGAAGTGCAGTATCATTTGAAAACACTAATTTGAAGTATCATTATTTATATTTTTGATATCTATATAAATGTCCAAACCCACTTTTGAATCTCTCTTGTTTCATCAGCTCTGAGTATTAATTAAATGTCAGGTGGAAAAGATTTTTCATTTCTTTGAACTGATGACCTTTTGTCTTCACTGAATTACACTTAGCATGTGCTGTGAAAAAAAAAGACAAGTTTTTATTCTCTTATGTCTCCCTATATCATTAGCTATAACTAGCTTGAGCCACAGCCTGCAGTAAGCTGTCTACAGTGGAGCCTAATGCAGTTTTGCTTCCTCTTATAGATGTGAGAACTTTGAAAATTTCTTTGATAGGAAATTATTTAGCCCTAATAAATTATTTTTAGCCCTTTATGTCATTAGCCCCTGGAGAACTAACACGATAGGGAGCTGCTCTGAAGGCTTCCATTGCAAAAACTGATTAGGCAGAGCTTGCATCTCCTTAGACATGGGGTAACCCAGAGAACCAGGTGAAAGAAAGTTTCATAAGTTTCCTTACTCACAGAGTTGTTTGATTAGCTAAAAAATATAATATCTACTGTTTTCTAACCCTGTAAAAACTTAACACATTTAATGAGGGTTTAATGATTTTGTAAAAGCTGCTAGTCTGGAAGACCCAAAATTAGAAATATATATACATAGGAACTGACTGACTTCTACACAGAATTAGTTATAGGCAAGCATTTCTTTCTTGACCTCTTTTCCTGGCCTCTTTATTCTCTATATAACCTCAGATGCATTTCCAAAGAAAAGCATGCCTTAGTATTCCCTTCTTTAGTTGTTCTCTTTAACTCTTGTCTATCACATCTTTGATGCAATTCTCATTTCTGATAAATTTAATCTTACGGTTTTATACTGAAAACTTTCAGTTCTTTTTCCAATGTTCAATTCACCCCTTCTAATTTCTCATAGAATTTGCCAGCTGTTGTTTATGCTAGCAATTCTAATGAGACTGAATTCAAAATTAGTCTCTTGAGTGTACTAGTAATTTTTCTTCTTTTTCCTACCACTGTGTGGAGATTTTTCAAGGAACAAATGGCAGATAAAGTGCCTAATTTTATGTAAATGGGAAAATATGAAAAAAACACAAACTCCTGTTGCTTCATACTTTTGTTTAAAATCCAACTTCAGAATGTGCATCTTTTCCCTATATTTCTCTCAGCTGTTCAGTACCTTTATGTATGCTTTTGTGTCTAGGTGAAAATACTATACCTTTAACTGTGGGTTATAAAATAAGGGTGATAATGTTTTTTCTTGGTTTAGGTCTAAAGGTCTTTATGTCTCTGCCTACCTTGACTTTTGTGTCACTGTGCAAAATTAAATATGATCTAGATGTTGTGGGATGTAGATCATACTAAAAACAAACAAACAAACAAACCCAGCAAATCCTGAAAAGCACCCTGCAGAGAGGTGGTACTGTATGAGTATATACTCAGTCACCAGTTAGGCAAACACGGGAAGTTTGGTGTTATTTACAGATAGATGACTCATTTTTTGTTTTTAAACATTCCTAGTTGAATTTCCTGTCTACTTTAAAGGATAAATCATTCTTTGGTATGATTTAATAACACCATATTTTTCTAAGGTTGGTAGTCAGGAGTCTGCAGTCTGGCAGTATCAAAAGTATACTGGTGATATATCAAAGAAAGAGATTTTGCGGAGAAAGCAACTGCACCTTAATGAATGCCTTACAGCTACCTGAAATGCATGATTACCTTGGCCTGTATCTATTCAGTAGCCCAGCAACAGTAGGACTAGGTCAGGGGAAATTGATTATCAAAATGATCCATTTACAGGCCTGGGTTTTTTCTCTTTTGCAAGAAATTGAGCCTTTGAAATGCTTTGTAGAAAGTCCTTTCTGATTACAATGTTATTAAATTCACCATTCCTTTTATTAACCAAGCTACCAAATTTGTAACCAAGGAAACCCAAACACAGGACAAACACTACTTTCTCTCTTATGCTATAAGACTATAATGTTTGTGTAAGAGACCTTAACAGTTACTTTGCAGCACAAAGCAGAGTAACATTGCAAAGGTTATTTTGTGGTTTTTTAGTTTTTTCTAACAAACCTAGAGCTAAGTAATCAAAAATTCCATTTTCATTAAAATACTAGCGGACTTCCCAAACATCCTTTAGTCACCTAAGCCAAACATAAGATCTGTTACAGAGAAAATTAGATTAAGATAATTGGCTAAAAATGTGCTTTAACAAGGTAGTCGTTTTCATGATATGGCTTCCAAATAATGATCTCTGACAATGTGTCTGTCTGAAGTAAAATTTTGGAAAGTCTTTTTGGCATAACTTAATGAAGCAACATAGGAAACATGTAAGAAGATAGGCATGTATTTTCCTGTGGTTTATAATCATGTCTCCAATAAGAACCCCTTTCCTGTATTTCTCCTCCTTGTCGCTGTAAATGGGTGCTAAAAAGTTCCTGTTCCAAATATGAGGGGAGTATTACTTCATTATAGAAGTAATTGTACAGTCTATCTCACCTCTATACCAAGATAATTGTACTATTCTACTCATTCTGTGTATCATTAGTGCCTACTCAACAGTGAGACTGAGAGAAAGGGTAATGTGTGAGTCCAGACATGGGTTTGATCTTGATCCTAAAAAAATCCCCCAGTAACCTTGGGAAAATCTCAGAGTCTTTTTGTCTCTGCCTTTTTAATCTTTGTAAGGGGATAGTGTTTGTGTTACTTGCTACCAAACTCTGACATCAGATAGATCATTTTGCTAATGTTTGTATGACATTTTAAGAACAAATCAAGCTATCTGAGAATACTATTGGAAGGAAAACATAGCAGATGTTTCCATAAACCTGATTAATGAAGGATGTCAGAGAAAACCAGAAGGTAAAGTTTTCTCCTACCTGCTAGTCTTCCGGTATTTTATGGATTTTACTGTTTCTTAATTTTAAAAGGTACAAGTGTTATTTTAATTATGTAGGAAACAGCTAAAAATGCTCAGCTTGACAATGGTAGCAGATAGGAATGAGAAGGAAGAGGAAAATGTGAACAAGTGCTTCAATAACTGATTCTATTTGGTAGCAGATTCAGTAAAATTAAGCATTAAGGCAATTATCAAATCTTTACTTGGCATGATATTTCTCAGACATGAGGCAATAGGGCAGCTGTGACTGGGGAATCACTGGCAGTTATTTCAAAGGATTTATGATGATACGGTTTTTATTTGGCAAATCTTATTCGTAAGGAGAGAAAAGGGGCATTGAGGTTTACTGATTGATGGGTTTCATTTTACTAGCTGATAAATTATTGGGAAAACTAAGTTTCTAAATTCTACATTAAGAAGAAAAATGACAGAAAAGGTACAGTAAGCAATAACAGAATATACAGAAGTAAAAGGTTAATATATTTTAAAGCCAGAAGATGTCATTGTGATCATCTAGTGTTATCTATACCACAGAAACAATGATTTCACTGACCCCATTGATCCTGTGTTTTCAACGCATTAATAAAGAGATCCTATTGCAATGTAAGTGTTTTCAGTAACTAAGTTTCTTTCCTTTACATGAAAGCTAAGATATATGGTTGACCTCCATTATATCATAGTATTTTCAGTCAATCCAACATCAAGTATTTAAGTTCCTGTATAATCATTGGAAAGAGATAGGTACCTACCCTAAGACTCCTAAACTTCAGATGGTCTGTATCTCTGTGTGGAGACCTTCAAAGACAGTTGCTTTTCTCTGTCAATTATGTCAGGAACTTAAATACTTACTCTAGGAAGACGTGCTCATTATCCATTAAGTTATTGCAGGATGGGAGCCTTAATGGAAATACAGTAGTTGTACTACACTGCATTTTGACTCTAGTAAAAGTGAAAGTTTAAAAAACATTTTTAAAGGGGAGGCATGAACTTGGGATCTTGTTAAAGAAATAGTATTAACAGGTTTTTGCCTGTTGGAATTGTAGTTTAGCACAAATATTAATTGCATATTATTTGTGTTCATTTAAAGGGTATCATTACACAGTCAGCAAAATTTAATGACTGTATCCAACCTTGGTGTTATCTTTGGACCAACTCTGATGAGAGCCCAAGAAGAAACCGTGGCTGCTATGATGAACATTAAGTTTCAGAATATCGTCGTTGAAATTCTGATAGAGCATTATGAAAAGGTAGAAAGACATTATCTGACTGTTTTGTGATAAAGTGGAGCTAAGATCTCTTTTTCATTACCATCCTTAAGTTCTTAAGAATAAGAAAACTAGCATTTGTAGAAGGTCATTGATGGAAAGAATACCTTCTTCCCACCCCATGCTGTGGATCTGTATTCCTAGCAAGTCTTCTGTGGCTGTGCAAGGTACAGATCCAAGGCATAATCTCCCATGCTTTGAAGGAGTTGCTCTGAATCTTCAGTTGCTTTCTGAAGATTGCTGTGTCCTTCCTATTTCTAGAAACAGAATGAGAAGGTCATAACTTTGCTCTCAGCTCTTCCATCTCTCTCATGCTAGCAGTGTATGAAGGTTCACTCTGGATGAATGCATGGATTCTCCTCTGAGTGCATCAGGTCAGAGTCCTTCTGACCATTGCTGTCCTTTGGGGATACACCAGCTGGACAGTGGAGATCTAATCCCACCTAATGTCATGAAACCCCAAACATCCTTCAGTTCCTTTTTTCATGAGCAGCATCGATGTGGATCCCCAGCACAATCCCCCATTTCTGTGCACTGTGTCATTTTTCATGTGTGTAGGTACTAGATCAAAAGTAAAAAAGAAAAAAAGAATGTATCTTAGATGAGGTTTTATTCCTAGTTACAGGTTTTAAGTCCATCATGTCTTTGTGATTTAAAAGTTCTTGAATACTCTGGAACATACAAACTTCTCTAGGTACTTCTTTTGCTTTGAAGAAAGGCATGTGTGTGACTGCCTGTTTATTTTGTTTTCCTCAAAGAGACCAGTGACAGCAAAAGTCCATCTCAAACTCTTTTGTGGAACATTCAGTAAGAACTGGTTCAGGGCTTAAGAAGGAAAATCCGTGAAATCTTAAACACTTTCAGTCACTACCATTGCAGGTATCAGCTTCACTGAAAAGCCTCCTCAGATTTTATTTTATTTTAAACAATTTGGTTTCAGAACTCATCAGAACAGTCAAGATCTCCTTTACTTGGTCATGAAAAGAAATTTCATTTTTGGGCTCTTTTGTTGATATATATCACCTTCTCTGATGACTAACAAAACAAAATGAAAAAACTTTGGGTTTCTTCCATTTCACGTTACTCAGCTAAGGGGCAGTTCCCAGTCAATACCAGGATCCCCTGCACTGGTTAGTCAGTAAGTGCTGACAGTGCTGCTTGGTATCATCAGTTATATTTCATAGGTACTCCTCAAAATTGGTATAGCCTCCTTGTCTGTAACTCCAAAATATATATATTACGTCTTTCCAACACTGAATTTCCCCTCCAGAAAATTACAAGCTCATTCAATACAAAGACCATGGCTGCACAACCAAAATCACCCTTGCTCTATTTCTCTGTCTACAGACATATTTTTATATTGATGTGCTACTCTCTAATGCCTACTACAGTATTAAGATGCTTCAAGAGCATCTCAAGACGTCCATTAAAGTATTTTCTACATAGAAGTATATTTACTTTCTTCTACTTCTGCGAGTTGCATGGAGGTATCTTTTCATTGTTCACTTCATCCTCTTCTGGGGGTGCCCTCTTGATAGGGGATCCAGAAATCCTTGCGGAGATGTATTTTGCCGTTGCATGGTATTTAACCTACGACACTTGGCCCTCTCTACGCTATGGAGATTGGACACTTCTGATTCCTTCAGTAGCTTAACTGAATATGCAATCTTTGTCAGGAAAACCTCTTCTCCATTCCACAGAACTAATTGCACTTCCTTCCACAGAATGCCATAAGAGATACTCAGTAGAGTTTACAGTCTACACTAGGAGGAATAGGTGAGAAAGGACATCTGGAAGAAAAACACGCAAATCTTTTGGTTGTATTTTTTGCTTTGGTCATCCTCCAAGGCAATTATCATTTTTACTAGAAATATCCAGGAGGGTTTTTAGGGTCTTTCAAGACCTCTACTGCACATGTCTTGGATATTGCAGAATAGGTGATACAAATAAAAATCACCCAAATTACTGGACTTTCTGTATTGTCCTTGTGGCAAGCTTGCCATGCTTATCAGCAAAGAGTTCTTTAAAACCTCATGTGTACCTGTGTCGGATCGCAGTAATTAGGTACCCCAAAAATTTTAGTTTTTTCTGCAGTAGTGTGGTGCAAAATTGACCAGGTAGCAGTGGTATGTAAAAGATAAAAATCAGGAGATACTCCGAACATAAAGATGTTCCTCATCAAACTTGACATGTTTGGCAAAACAAAGTGGTTTTCTGAAATACAAACTGGATTGTAGTAAGTTACGACTATAACAAATTTCTGTGACATACAAAAGCTTTCACAGGAACACAAAGAAAAAATGTATTACTACTTGGGCAGGAGTTAACTGTAAGCACATATTGTATGTTTCTCAATTTAGACTTAAGCATTTCTTAACAAGGGCTAGAAAATAAAAATATTTAAACAACTATTTTTATATAATTAGTATAAATTTTAAGTATAGCTCAGTATTGTGGTTCTTGGATTGTAAAATGAGATCAGAGCAAAGTATATATTCTGTGAGTTTACTCTTTTGTAACGTGCGAGACTATTACAGCATTAATTTCAGGTGCAATGGTGAGGAAAACAAATGGATTAATAACAGAAGTGTAAGAGTACCTCTATTGTTTGTCATTTATTTTCCTTTTTTTTTTTTTTTTTTTAAAATCATGCAGATATTTCACACTGCACCGGACCCCAATATTCCTCTTCCCCAACCTCAGTCCCGATCAGGTTCAAGAAGGACAAGAGCAATTTGTCTCTCCACAGGTTCACGTAAACCCAAAGGAAGATATACACCGTGTCTAGCAGATCCTGACAGTAAGTTTGTCCTTGTTGACTCATTATCTTCCTTTTTATGTCTTGTCTTTTAACTTTCCTGAATAATATCCAGTAAGTATTGTATTCCAATAATTACAAGCGTAACAGATGGGTTTTGTCAGCTTTTTAACCAATGTGAGTTACAGCCGCACTGTTGAATGACTGCATTCCTTGCTTCCTTAAGATGAGGAAGGATGTTTGGTTTTAGGCAAGCCTTGTATTCCATACAGTGTTCGAAAACCTTTTATAGTAGACTTTATATTCTAATCTAAATGTAGTCTGCTTTGAAACTCTGAGGAGTTCGTTATATGAAGTTCACCTCATTTGCTTGTAAAATGATTGTTAAGGTTGGGAAACTGTAAATACAATCTTTCCTCCCATAATAAATGTAATTTAGTAAAAGTCAGGAGATCAAAACCGTTACTTGGCTTTTTTCACATGCATGAAACTGTGGTCATTTGTTCGAAGTCAGCCACTGCCTAGGTTTGCCAAAACCACTGAAACTTTCTTAGTTTTTCTGGAATAGAAACAAACTCTAGTATTTTGGGGAGAAACAGTATACTTATCATATGGCTTACTGTTTAACAGCAGGGAATTATGTGTGTAATTAATTGCTTCTTAGAATGTTTATTCATTTTCATGTAAATGTCACTATTAAAAAGTTTCACTTCATTCCTTTTCATCTAGTGGGCCATCAAGTTTTTACTTACTGGCTGTACCATTGAGAAGTATTGAAACTGTAGCAAAGATTAAGTTGTTAACAGTTCCACTACTGCAGCAGACTTCCAGAAGAACTTCTCTGTCCCTTGGTTCCTCAAGGAGATTTACATGAAACTGGTACACTAAATTAATCCACAGCTAAGGTGTATCTGTTCTTGAGGATCTGTAATAATTTCTAAGTACGTAATGTTAGGAAATTTATCCGCAGTACACTCTTGCACAGGTGCTGCATTTTCCATATGTTTATATTACATGATCCCTGCCAGTGAGAGTGTAAATACTAAATAAGAGCAATAGCTGCCTACACATCAATTGCCAGTGTGAATGGCATGGGATCACGAGTAAGAAGTTACAGAGGAACTGCCAGTTACATTCACCAGACAAGAAACTGTGCAAGTTTTAACTGTTTTTTGCTGTGTAACTGCAATGAATGGATGCCAGCATAAAAAAGGGGCATTTACATGCAAGTATTTTGCAGAACATGCGCAAGCTCACACTTCTTCATTCAGACACGTCTTGTGCTGGCAGCTGGATTGAAACTAGCTCTGACCCAGGGGCTCTCCACTTGTGGTTTGCTTATTAGCTCAAGCTCAGCACTTGCTACACAAGTTCCAGTTAAGATCTTGCTTGTGTCGGGAAGGCCGAGGCAGAAGCAGAGGTATTCTCCTTGCCAAATATCTCTAGGTGTGGCTGGAGACAGGCAAGAAAGAGCCTTACCAATAGCAAATTCTGTAGTACTAGATGGGTTTAAGTCATCATTTAAATGAAGCATGGACATTTAACTATATTGCAGGAAATCAAGGAATTCTATATGGCATGACAAAATAAGATACGGGTTTCAAACGGTAGGGAATGATAGAAAATGTATCTGACAAATTTAGGCTTCAGCCAATCTTGCAATTTTCAAGGGACTAATGGTCTGTAAAGGGGCAAGATGGGGAACAATCTAATCTGGAATACCAGAATTCTGGCCAGAAATGGGCAGGATATTTCAGATTATTGTACCAGTGGCACTACTGTTGTCAGATCCACTGTACAAGGCACTGGTATTTGTGACCGTATCTGTAGTATTGTGTGTGATTATGGTCACTTGTTGCCAAGGCTATTGAAACATGTGGAGGCAAAAGCAGCAGTATCATGTTGGTATCTTATAAGTACTGTGTGGTTGAAGAATAGATATTCTCTGCTGTTTGTGAAATTTGTTAATTATATCTCCTAGCTTTTGGGAACAAATCCTACTAGAAACCAGCGTATGACTCGCTAGACTGAATCCAATCTTCAAGATAGTTCAGCCCTCACTGTATTATAGGCCAGTCCTTCCTCAGTTCTGATGAGTGTTCCTACCTTTATATCATCAGATAATTTTATTAGGATATTCCTACTTTTTGTTGCGAAAGGTTATTGGAAATAAGATCAGTACAAAGATTGTAAATTTCTGTAATATCAGTCTAATTAAAGAAATCTATCAAATGTTCAAGTTGTAAGGAATGACTTGTTGTCCTTCTGCAGGATAGGTATTTTATGATAGTTGTGACAATTCAGAAAATAGGATATCTATAGATAGACTTACGGACTCGTCTTAGACTGCAGAGATCCTCAGCAGCTTGGTAACCACAGTAAAATTTAGTTCTTGTGCCTGCAGGCAATACAATCATGCATTTAAGAACATAAATGTTACAAGTATCACATCCAGCAAGATACTCACCACAAAGATATTGCAGCATTGTAACTGTTGCATTTCCTAAGGTTATTTATATTGCAAGCAGTTCTTTGAAAATGCAAACTTCTATGCGAAATAGTTTAGCTTGTAGCCCATTATGTTCATCAGCTCTAAAGAAATGTCCACAAAATGCAGCTCTTCCAGGTTAAAGATAGGAATATGCATGAAACTTAGAGTAACTAAACAGATCTTTTGTCTTAAGAATCACTGCCTCTGAAACCACGGATTAATGAATTTGATGACAGGTGATGTACAAGGGGCTAAAGGTGGCATGAGAGAAATGCACATGATTAGAAAATGTAATTATTTTTTTGTTTCCCTCTCTCTCCCCTCACTCCTCCCTAGGTGACTCATACAGCAGTAGCCCAGACAGCACTCCCATGGGCAGCATTGAATCTCTCTCTTCTCACTCCTCTGAGCAGAACAGCACTACCAAATGCGTGCCCTCACAGCCCAGGGAGAAATCAGGAGGGATTCCATGGATTGCCTCTCCCCCTTCTTCTAATGGCCAGAAGAGTTCAGGCCTCTGGACTACAAGTCCAGAATCCTCATCAAAGGAAGATGCAACCAAAACAGATGTGGAGTCAGACTGCCAAAGTGTAGCTTCTGTCACTGGACCAGAGAATGCCTCCCCACCAACAGACCTGACCAAAAAGAGTTCTTACAGTCTGTCTGGGCTGAAAAGGTCTTCAGCATCTTCCCTCAGATCAATTCCATCAGCTGAAGGTAATTTCCAAGGTCTTTTAGGATATCAGTGTTTACTGTGAGGCATCGGAAAATAAGAGCTGCATCTGAAAGCTAATGATATCCATTAATCATTTATGTTTATTTTTTAATTTTTGTGCCATGTTCTTTCAGTTTTCAAACCACTTCTGACATATTTCCATTGTTTGTTACCTGTACGGTTTGCACAGCTTAAAAGCTATCAGTGTTTCTCAGAATTTAGAGTACTCTATCCTGCTGCGCCTCACCTAGACTGCTGACTTGTAAGGAGATTGCTGGGTTATAAGAAGAGTTGGTAGCTATGGTTCATCACTGTGTCAAAGGAATGATTCGTTGCAACATGATTGATACTGATCAAAGCTAGCATTTAAATTTGAAAAGCACTAGGCTTAACATATCTAGTAAGTAACAGTTTTGTAACTCCTTGTCAATGTGTCTGCTTTTTTTTTTTTTTTTTTTTTTTTTGACAGTTGCATCTCTTCAATTGACTGAAATAGGGGATTGGAGGAAAGGTGGGGGTTTTTTGGTTTGGGTTTTTTTTTTTATGTTATGGATTTTACAGTCAATGCCTTTAGTTGAGATGGGACTGGACAGATGGGATAAAAAGGTAATCCCTGGCATGAAATGTATGTCTGAAACCCTGCTGATGGAATGGCTGCTTCATTCTGCCCTACTTGCATGGCTTGGAGTAGATTAGCTTGGACACAAGGTAATGGCTGAATGGTCCTGTATATGGACGTGATGTGCAAAAACAACCACAAGTTTGCAAACCCAACTTTAGCAATCCAATTTCAGTGCACAAGTTAGGATACCAGTATTCCTGTTCAGTCAAAGGAGGATGCTGCTTCAAAGAAGAGCACCTAAGTTGAGCCTATGTTCCAAATAAGCCTGTAGACAAGGCTCCTTACAAGACAGAGAAGGTTAAAAACATAGCTTCTTAATTTAGACGGTTCTGCTAAATGCTAAGTTAGCTGGAATGCCTGTGAACCCTTGCTGTACCTCTGTGAGTACATGAGATGATATCGCACTATATTGAGAGCTATGTGGAAATCACTTTAGAAGAAATACCTTCTTGAAATCAGTATATTTGCAGTGGTTTGGATTATGAAGATTAACAGCCGGCACTGAAACAATGAGCTCCAGTGGACTGAACGCGAGTGCTGAGTTTGCCACTGAGCTGTCAATAGTATAAGTAATACAAGTACAGGTAGGGTAAATATGTAGTTATGTGCAAAGTCCTAAAAGTTTAAGAAAGTTCTCTCCCCTCTGCCCCCCATGGAGCGTACAAGCTTTTTCCTAAGGCTTCCAGATATGAATTAGTGTTATATTAGCAGTACTAATAATGTAGAATAATAATTATCATTAACAATAATTTATAATATAGAATAATCCTATAGAATAACAATATTAATAATATAGGTATTGTTTTTATTTTTTGGGATCTCTCTATATTATGACAGCTTTTAAAGCATTATTAAGCATCTGTTGTTCTTGGGAATAAAGAAACACAGAAGTAGATGCAGTTAGTGTCTTGCAGAATATCTATGCAAACAAGGCAGCAGTCCACAGATAGATCAGCTTAAAGGACACATGTGGCCATGCCTTGTATTCATTAAAAGGACTTTTTTTTGTGTGCAATACAGTCTGTACAGCTATAGATTTGTTTTATCAAGTTACAGTAGCAATTGTTTTAGGCAACTCATAATCATTAATTCCTAAGAATTTTTTTTAACTGCATTAAGCTTCTGTGGATACTGAAATATTTATTCTTACAAATTAACGTGGTCTGATTTCATAGTGGATGCTGCTTTGAGCAGGAATTTGGGCTAGATGACTTCCTAAGATCCCTTCCAACATGATTTTTTTCTACAATTCTGTGCAGTGTACTACTTTATAAATGTTGTCTTTATTGTCACTTTTTAGTGAATGTACTATCTAGCCATTTAAGTACAATGTAATTTTTAGCCTTCACAGTTTTAATGTCATTTCTTCATTCTGATTGTTGGTCCTTTTCTCCTGGCTTTCTGCCTGAAAGGCTGTTTCTTCTCCATCTTAGTAAGTACTTTCTTTATCTATTTTGCCTCTTTAAAAAAAAACAAAACACAACAAAAACAAAAACTTTGCTTTGCATGTTACATGTTATGAAGCAACTTCAAATTAGCTTTAATATTCCCTGTAATTTGGTTGTTTTCTTTAGGTAACAAAAGCTGCAGTGGATCTATACAGAGCTTTTCTTCAACAGATACCAAAGATACACCCAAGGCTCCACCAAACCCTGATTTGCCTCCCAAAATGTGCAGGAGATTAAGATTAGATACTGCATCAAGTAATGGCTATCAAAGACCAGGATCTGTGTAAGTCATCAAGGCCCTTTGGAGATTTGTGTTGTTACAGTATTGTCTACTGTAAAGTGATCCCAGAGACCTACATAAGTAGTTGAAAAAGCATCCATGAATACTTGATTTGAATATTTCTGTATTTGTGCATTATTCATCTAGCTTCATTAAAATTGTAAACAAAGGAAACACAGCACAAAGTCTGTTGCAGTTGGTTGAAAGACTCCCATTGACTTCATTAGACTACAGATAAGGTCTATAATGAAGAAAGGTATCTTTGGAAAGTGATTAGTATTATTATCTCTGGTTCTTCTGTAATTTAATGTTTCAAGGAGCATAAATGTTACTTACTGTCTGTGCTGTTATGTCAAGAAGATCACCAGATCTTATTTGTGTAAGTCCAAAAATGGAGAAAGGAAAAAAATCCAAACTTCTGCTCTGAAATTTCTTCGGTTGCTGCATGTTAAATAGTTGATATCTTTGTTTTTTTCTAACAGTTGTTTTTTTGGGGGGGGCTATGTTGAAAGGAGGATAGTTCTAAGCAGTAGAGGTTATAGTTTAGCTTGTTGAGATATGGGTTAGCAATGTTTCTCAGTGCTTTTAGCACAAACTTAAGAGTCAGAAGATCTTTGCTGTAATCCTGACTTTGACCCAGAATTTCTCTGTCCCCATGAACCAGTGATTTCCAGATCTGCAGAGCACAAAGAAGTTCTCCAAATATTGCAGGACTCCAGTCTCTCCACTTTCTAAACTGGAAGGGATCACTGTAGTCATTTCACAGACTGTTGTGTCTTAAACAGAGAATCCTGCACAGCTCAGAGTTCCAGCATGATAGTGGCAGACTGGCAGTAAAAGCACTTCCAATATATCTATTGGCCATCCATGAACAGAATTTTAAATATAGGGTGTTGAGATTTCCCTTGCTGTCTCAGCAAGGCACTAAGGCATGCGGAAGTCAGGCCACAATTAGGTTATGCCCATAAGAATTCTGCTGAAATAGGGACTTAAATTCAGCTTTTGAATTTCCTCTGTTTCTCTAAGTGAGTAATTAAAACAATTTTTAAAAACGTGTCAATGTCTTTAGATGATTAAAAGTGAAGTTAGTCTGTGTGGTTTTTTAATGGGCAAAGTGTAAAGCAAGGTGGTGCTTTATTTTCAGAGTGGCTGCAAGAGCCCAGTTGTTTGAAAGTGCTGGTTCACTTAAACAAGTTTCTTCAGGACGGTAAGTGCTTCATAGTATTTAACAATTTGTAAAATCACTTCTGTTTTGCTGGCTTCAAAGATTGAAATAGAAGTGCTGGAGCTTTTTTCTGTGTCTTTTGGACAGCATCATGTGGCGTGCAAAATTTTTGTGGGTTATTAAACTCATCCTTGCTCCAGAAGAAAACTAAATCTAATAGAGAATACCAGCCTATCTGGCTATTCTGTCACCTGAGGGGATTGCAGTGAGAGATGCTCAGGTTCGTAATCTGCTTAAGCACACAGCTACAAGAGTGAGTTAACGGGATTTAAATTAGGATGAGGGTGCTGTACTTATTCCATACAGCTGTTTATATATACATGCTTTTAGCAGAGTAGCAAACATGCTAGTTTATGGTAATTTGCTCATGTAGGCAAGTCCTGAATAACAGCTGCTTTAAAAAGTTCAGGATTAACTTGATCAGGATTCCTGCCTTTCCCATCACCTCAGTATCTGTCTGGAGAAACTGTTGCCCTTTTTTCTCAGTAGTGTGCAGCAG